TTCACAGAAGGGAACAGATAAAACCCACAGAGAAAACTGCCATCCAACATCAGAGAATACTGTCATGTTTATGGTTCCATGAATGATAATGGCCTCTCACAGACTCTGATGCCCACAATAAAGGTTGCTTGGGCAGTTAAGGGTCTAAAATCAAATTAAAAGAGATTATGCAAGGTATGGTCCCACTTCCAATATCCCGTGGGATTTCTGGACTGCTCTGGAAAGCTTTCTTCAGGAATTTCAATCCTGTCTTTAAAAATGGAAAGAGACTGCTCACCAATTAGTAAATGTCATGAATGAAAAGTTCCACAGCAAGTTTCTATAGAGGGAAAGGAATGACTCTAAGGAAGGAAACTAATATATATATCAGTAACTTTCATGTTTGATTCTCTGAGTTAAGTACTCTTCATACATTACCTAACAATCCCCATGAAATAATTGCTATTATTAATCCCATTTTACAAATGAAGAAACAGCCTTAGAAAAAATAAGGAATCTTCCCAAGATCACCCAATTAGTAAGATAGGGGAGAAAAGAGAAAGTAGTACCATGACTCAGAAAGAGACAAAAACAGGGAGGATAAACCCAGGAAGAAATTTCTGAAATCTCTCACCGCCTGTCTTTTTCCCCCAAATTTAACTTGGTTTCCTCTCATTTGCATAAGTGGTTTAAACTGCAGAACTGTGCATCTGCTCTTGTGCATTATTTCAGGTATGTGCATCCTGATTAACCAACTGAATCATAAGTTTATTTAAGGCAAGAAGTCTTTTATATACTTCCCTTCCATTGCCCTTTGCTCTTTGCTGCTGAAATAATTAGCCCAGGAAATGTTCTGGATCCCAATCATAACATCCACTTTAAGCTGTGCTCAGGGAAAATGCTCAGGACAGGGGCTTACATCCAATGGACTTTTATACTTCTTCAAATCATTTGAAGGCAGATGGGCCATGATCACAATCACAGAAAGTCAAGTATCTAAAGGACTGAGAGAAGCAAGTGGCATGTGATTATTTAAAGGCTAAGCACATTTTAAAAACACTAGAGATGTGAACTTCAGAGAGCCCAGAAGCTGGATCTCCTAAAGGATGTTCCTGGAAACATGACCTTCACCTAACCAGTCTCAGGGCCAATGCACAAAGGTGCAGGAAGCTGTTTTGTACCAGGTATTTGCAATCATCAGCATAGAGTCATAGACTACAGGCCTGATTACTTATAAGAACTCAATATATGATAAAGGAAGTATCAAGAATCAATGGGAAAATATAAGATTGTTCAAAAATACTGTTGAAATGATTATGTACTTATTTGAAGAATATAAGTTTTAAAATGAATTCAGGTGAGTATATTAAATCATTTAATATAAGAAATATGGGCTGGGGTTGTGACTCAGTAGTCTAGTGCTCGCCTAGCACATGTGAAGCCCTGGGTTCAATCCTCAACACCACATGAAAATAAATAAATAAAACAAAGGTATTGTGTCCAACTACAACTAAAAAATAAATATTAAAAAAAGGAAATATATATATACCCAGTCAGGCATGGTGACACACACGTGTAATCTCAACAACTCAGGAAGCTGAGTCTGAATAATCATGTTTGAGGCCAGCCTGAGCAGCTTAATGAGACCCTGCTCATAATAAAATAAAAAGGGATGGGGATATAGTTCAGTGATGGAGTGGTAGAGCACCCAGGTTCAATCCCCACTACTTGAAAACATGTGTGTGTGTGTGTGTGTGTGTGTGTGTGTCCAAAGGAAAGGGAATTGGATGTATCACACCCTATGAACAAGGGATTTCTTAGCAATACATATGTATTAAAATAGAAATATAAAGCAAAATATCAAGTAAATTTTATGTCAAAAACTTCTAACAAACAAAATTGAAAGGGAAACAAACTAAAAAAGCTCTTTGCAATAAATTTTATAGGCAAAATGTTGATTATAGGCAAATAAGTAAAAGTAATATAATAGTGATATATCATTTCTCAGATTAGCAAAAATTTTTTAAATTATCACAACCAAGGCTGATAATCAAACAACTAATCTCTTATTCAACCATTTTTTAACTGTAAATATGGAAGATTTCCTAAGGAAATAATTCTATATATGAAAAATACTTTATTCACTATTATGTTTATCATAGTATTTATAATAACAAGAATATTAATAATCATTAGAAAAAGTAAATACTGAACATTAGCAGATTATGGATGCATGTTATAGTATGTGACATGGAACTTAGCCCCTGATTCTTATTAAGAATATATGAACAAACAAAAAAATTTTTTAAAAAGTGACATTAGGCTGGCAATGTATCAGTGGTTAGAGCATTTGTCTAGCATGCTTGAGACCTTAGGTTTGATCTCTAGCAATGCAAGATAAGAAAGAGAGAAAAAGAGAAAGATAAGAATAAATAAAGAAATGTATAATAATACATAAAATTATTTCTATGATGACTTAAAAAGCAAGATTAATGTTCTACATTAAGTACAGTCATTGTAATGTAGGGGGAAAGCAACGTATAAGAAAAAGACATGTTTGATAAACTGTGGGTAATTTTTCCACTTTCCTAATGTTTTAGAGAGTATTAATTTTTAAATAAAAAATATAAACATACAGGAGTGAATGACATTTGCTTTTTTTTTTGGCAGTGTTGGGATTTGAACCCGAGGCCTTTCATTTGCTTTTAAGAGAAAAAAAAAAATGTTTTCAAGCCATGTCTAGAAACAGCAGTAGAGAGCCGGCAGAGCAGTAGGAGGGGACTGGTCAGCTTTAGCGGGGCAGAAGACAAAATGGGAAGCTGTTGGTGTTTCAATTGATCTATTCCTATCAATGCATATTTTATAAAATGTTTATTGCCTTCTTTATAGTGAATCATAAGCAGCGCACATAGAGCTCCAGGGCATTCCACTAACTTATTTTCGCTGGGCCAGTGTCTCCTGGCATCTTTCAGGACATCTCAGTGGAAAAAAAGAGTACGTGGAAATTCAAGAAGCTTGTAGAATTTGAAACCACCCTTCTTGGCAGAAGCAGAGTTAAGAATGGAATGTAGTTCTCCATGACAACCTTATCAGTGTTTGGGGTCTGCTTATTTCTGGGTACCATGTTCCAGGAAAGTGTTGCAACTAAGCTTGTTACCATTTTCCCCTTAGTTACAGGCACCAGGATTTGTACTCACTCATCAGCACAATCTCTGCTTATCAAAGTGGAGCAGGTATTGTATTCAATAAGCCTAGCAATGAATGACATAGAAATACTGACAGAGAGAGAAAGTGCTAAACCCTTTTCCACAGGAAATTTTACAATTAGTCAAATCTATGGGCTTCAATTCAGCTCCTGAACTCTCCCAAATCATCCTTCCATATGTTGTAGGACTTGTTTAAATCTCATCTGATATTGTTCCTATTTAAATAGATTTATACTAGAGAAAACTCAAAAATTTCCTTCAAACAGCGAGCGTACTGTTTGCAGCTGCTTCTCACAGACTTTCATTTCTCTGAAAAGATAGACACTTGCCTCAGATGTCACTTCCTACTCCTATTTGTCTGTACACTAAGATAACAGCACACCAGGTTTTGAATACATGCTCACTTCCTCATAGACTTGAAGAGTGTGTCTTTGTACGGTAGAATTTCTGGAAGAATGTGTACACGGCAGTGTATGTGGAACTAAGGGGTCGGCAGATGGTGGTAGATTAGGAAACCTTGCTAACAGTCCCTGTCTTGTTTTCTTCTGAGAAGCATGCCTTTTTCTCCATAAGCCACAGTTCCTTCATTCCCAGGTGGCTTGAAATATTGCCTCTTAAAGTCATTTCATAATTGCCTCTATCTCTGATGTTAAGAATTCTTGCTATACACCATTTCCCCAACACACGGCATACACATATCCATGTAAAGTTCTACCATCTTGTGGTTTGGGCTGTATTACAAATCTACGTTAACTTTGCTTTGCATTCTTAAAGCTTAAAATCATTCTTTTTCTTTATTTATTAGCATTTTTTCTTCTAATATCTATTTTTCTTTACCAATATTCTTATTGTCAGCCTTTGACAAAATAGGGAAATATGAAGAGAGAGATCTCTTTTTCTCCACCCTCTACCCTTCACCCCTACTGCAACAGATCCCGACATTTCAAACTGCACTATTCATGTTAGTTTGTACCATAGCTTTTGTCATCCTTAGATGCTTTCCCGTTGTTCCACTTCTAAACAGCCACTTATTTCTGCCTCAAAACTGATGGAAGTATCAGCTTTATTTTTTTCCCAAACTGAGTCTATATACTTTTTTCCACCTGTGACTGAGTCATTTTGTCGACAGTTAGGCACAGTATTTGGAAACAAAACTAATTGCTTCTTGTCTGTCTGACAGCATTCTTATAACCCAAGCAGAGACAAACGGTTTTATATAGTCGAGTTGTTGTCTTGTTTGCCGATTGAGTTCTGAAATCAGAATTAAAGTAAAATGGAAGAAAGTTTTTAAAACCTTCTTTTCGAAAGATTGGTTGCACTAAAACAGAGAAGAGTTAATGGAAAACTCCCTTTTCACACTCTTTCCAGGAGCCACAGCCTAGTGAGGGGTAGGTATAAAGGGTAAAAGTAAAGATGGGGGGTCCCTATCTGTTCAACCTCAGATGAGGACCCCCTTGGCCACATCACAACATGGCAAAGTGGAAAAAAAAATGCCCCGGTGCAGAAAAGGTCCAGTGCATGGGGCAGGTAGCCTTACCTTATAACAACCTGCTCTTATCCTGAGATGAGGAACTTATCCTGAAAGACTGGCATTAGCCCCTACCGAGCGCAACCCCCAGTGATCTACCAATCTTCCACGAGGCCCCACCTCCTTTTTTTTTTTTAATACCTACCCTTTAGTTTTAGGACACAATATTTTCTTTGTGGTGTTGAGGATCGAACCCAGTGCCCCCTGCAAGCTAGGCGAGCACTCCACCACTGAGCCACACCCCCAGCCCTAGGCCCCGCCTCTTAAAAGCTCCACCTTCTGAGCATCACCACACTGGAGACCAAGCCTCAGTAAACAACCTTTGGGAGATAAATGAAATCCAAATCGCAGCACTTGTATTTTTAAGGTAAGTGCTAATTACAGAGATTATAGAGGATAGAAAAAGGTGGTTTGTATTATAATTGAGGGATGAAAAATATTTCTAAGTTAAAAAATATTAAACTAACTTCTAGCTCCATTAAGCAGCTAAATAAAAGGTTCAGCATTTCTGTAAACAGTATTTTGTGCTTATAAAAGCCGAACTTTCCTTATTACTTATTTCCATTACTTATTATTACTTATTTCCAAAATAGATGCATCCTCTTTTCTGTGTGTGTAGTTTTAATCATTGAATATTATTTTGACCACAGATCTTATAAGTATAATGAACATATATGTCTTATAGATTCTTAAAAAGACAATATTATGAATTTTTTAAAAGTCATATAAAACTTGAATATTAATTTTGATTAAATCTGTAGTATATTTGGGGTCACATCATATTTGTAAAACTCACAATTGAGAGTACTTTGTTAACTGAACTTATATCTTTTTTAAGTTAGTATGTGCTAATGTGTATAATAAAGACAATCTTGCAAATTTAAAGCAAATCAAGAAATTGCAGCAATTATCAAATTAAAAACGTCACATAACATCAACTACTTATTATTCATTGGCAATTTTCAAGTAACCAAGACTACACTTCATTGAATTCCAAGAAGAAAAAAATATCCATATCACAAACACTCCTCAGTCAAATGGTCTGCATATAAGACAAAGATTTAACTCACTCAATATTGATATTTAATATGGATTCTCATAACACAATTTTCTTGGCCTAGCCTAACAAGGATCACATAGAACAACTCTGTCAATTATGACACATTTTAGTAGTGTTTAGAATTTTTAGAATTATTTGCCTACTCAGTTGAGCCCCAGCCCAACATATAGTGAATACAGAGGGAAATCCTGGCATGACAGCTCTGAAAACAAGGGAGGACATCAGTAAATGCAAATAAAATTGTGGTGTAGATAATTACATTGCTAGCATTTTTTTTCTTCAGTGATATTTCTGGGAAAATAAAAATAAATTGCATTTTCTTGTTTATTACCAATCTCCCAATTTTACTGAAAAATACCCATTGGCTTCCAGCTATATACTTAACTCATCCGCATTTAGACTTTTCATCATTACACTGAATTAACAGAGGAATTTCTCAAATTGGACTTTATCAGAAGAAAATGCATCTTTTCTTTATGTGGTGCAATTTGAAATCCTATATTATTAAATTTTATATAATCTAAAGAAAATTATAATATATATTTGTGACATATTTGTAGAGATCAAATCTATATTCTTGGTTCAAATCCTTCAATATTGCCATTAACCTTAAAAATGAAAGATTTTGTGGCATTTATACACAATGGAGTATTACTCTGCATTAAAAAATGACAAAATCATAGAATTTGCAGGGAAATGGATGGCATTAGAGCAGATTATGCTAAGTGAAGCTAGCCAATCCCTAAAAAACAAATGCCAAATGTCTTCTTTGATATAAGGAGAGTAACTAAGAACAGAGTAGGGACAAAGAGCAGGAGAAGAAGATTAACATTAAACAGGGATGAGAGGTGGGAGGGAAAGGGAGAGAGAAGGGAAATTGCATGGAAATGGAAGGAGACCCTCAGGGTTATACAAAATTACATACAAGAGGAAGTGAGGGGAAAGGGAAAAATAATACAAGGGGGAGAAATGAATGACAGTAGAGAGGGTAGAGAGAGAAGAGGGGAGGGGAGGGGAGGGGAGGGGGGATAGTAGAGGATAGGAAAGGCAGCAGAATACAACAGACACTAGTATGGCAATTTGTAAATCAATGGATGTGTAACTGATGTGATTCTGCAATCTGTATACGGGGTAAAAATGGGAGTTCATAACCCACTTGAATCAAAGTGTGAAATGTGATATGTCAAGAACTATGTGATGTTTTGAACAACCAACAATAAAAAATAAAAAAAAAGAAAACAAACAAAAAAAATGAAAGATTTTTTAATCTTTCTATAATATTTGGCTATTCCAGATGAGCAGGAAATTCCTTATCAGTTTGTTCAACGTAATTAATACTCCAGATACATTATGGGACCAGAGGCAGTGCCTAAGAGAAGTGAAAGGAATCAATGCTCTTGAACTTTGTATTACTCAATCCTTTTTTACATACGACTCAATCAACAGAATAAATTATCTTTAATATCCATAAAATAGCAAATGATTGACTTTTTGTAGTTGTAAATGGACATATACCTTTATTTTATTTATTTATGTGGTGCTGAGGATCAAACCCAGTGCCCCACACATGCAAGGCAAGCGCTCTACCACTGAGCCAGAACTCCAGGCCCATGAGACTATTTCTATGTAAAAATTTCAGTTAATATTTTTAATTAAGGTATTATGGGTGAAGAAAGTAAAACATTTCATTCTGTGGATGTTTCTCGTGATGTTTACCAACATGCTTAGTGAGGTGGAAAATTGAAGCAATTCTCTGGATGATTCATGCTATAATAAAATAGTCAAATTCTTGAGTTTAAGCTTAGGCATCTGTTTTTTTTTTTAATTTCTACTTTGTTATTTTGTTTTCCTATGATTTTGCAAACAGAACACTCCCAGACAGGATAACATCTCCACACCTAGATAAATATCATTTTTTTTCCAGATTTACAAATGAAAAAAAAAACTAAGGACCAAATAAATTAGGTGACTCATCCATAAATCAGGAGTTAAGTCATAACCTCCCGAATTCTCTTCTCCCATGATTATACCATATATCATTCTATCTTTTTCTAATTACAGTGCTCCTCCTTTATCTGTGGTTTTGATTTCTGCAGTTTCAGTTACCCAAGATCAACCATGTCCTGAAAATATTAAGTGGAAAATTCTAGAAATAAACAATTTGTAAGTTTTTAATAACTTTTATTACCATACACTATTTCTATTGTTCTATCTGATTACTAATGTTGTTAATCTCTTATTGTGCTCTAATTTATAAATTAAACTTCATCATAGGCATATATATGTAAGAGAAACATTACTAATGTACATGTAGGGTTTGTTGGTATTCCATTTCAGATGTCTTCCTGGGCTTCTAAAACATATCCCCCATGGAGAAAGGGAGCTACTATAATACTATTTGCAGTAATTATGCCTAATCTTTAAATAATATACAAATAAATCAAACTACAGTAGAAAATAGAAAATAATGGTTAACAGTAGGAAAAACACTATTACCCTTGTAGAGACAATTGCTCTAATCATCTTGGTGTTTATCTTAACATTTATTATTCATGTATATTATATAGATAATATGTTTTTACAAAAATGAGAAAGTCATATTCAAACCATTTAGAAGCCAAATTTTCTCACTAAACTATAGATCATTAATATACTTCCATTATGAATAAATCTTATGTGCCACCAGGTGCAATGGTGCACACCTGTAATTCCAGTGGCTTGGGAGGCTGAGGCAGGAGACTCACTAGTTCAAAGCCAGTCTCAGCAACTCAGTGAGGCCCTAAGCAACTCAGTGAGACCTGTCTCTAAATAAAATTTTAAAAAGGGCTGGGGATGTGGCTCAATAGTCAAGCACCCCTGGGTTCAATCCCTGGTACAAAAAAAAAATCTTATGTGCCTTATTTTTCAAATGCTTATTTTAATGATGAAGAATTGAATTTAAGGATGGTTCAATCTATATTAATACTTTCCAATCAATTTTAGAAAGTTAGTTATTAAAACTTAATGAGATACTACTACATGTATAAAATTGTTGCCATCACTACCAGAAAATACTTCCATGAAAGTATGTTTCTCTTTGACTTTTTAAATGTATAACAGGTATCACATTCATTTTACAAATATTAAACTAACGCATTATTTTTTCCCCTTAAATCAAGTTTCAATGAAGTCTCTGCCTTAGAGATCAAACCCTGCAGGCTTGTACAAGGGCTAGAGTGGATTATTTTGTCCTGATCAGGACAATAAGCCAGAAAGCTGGTAGAGAAGGAATTTACTAAATTCTTGACCCTCCACTTAACCAAGGATATCTGTTATAGGATAGGAAAGATGACGTTAGTGCCACAATGTACAACCCTGAGGTTAAAGTGGAACATACAAGAATATGGTGTAGAAGACATGGAGAAATACTGTAGTTTATAGAATCTAAGACAGCATTGATCATAAGCTGCATCCTGACACCACCACTGTGGTTTGCATGCTGTTTGTCCCTGACAAAACTCATGTTGATATTTAATTGCCAATGTAGCAGTTGGAGAGGTGATGGGGTATCTTTAAGAGATTTTTGGGTCATGGAGACCCCACCTTCTCAAAAAGATCAATGTAGTTCCTGCAAGGGTAGTTTAGTCATCTCTAGCCCCCTGTGTCTCCTCCTCCACTTCTTTCTTTCTTTCTTTTTGCACATGCCTGCTTGCCCTTCCACCATATGTGAAGCAGCAGAAGGATCTCCCGAGATACCAATCAGAAGCAGCCAAGCCTAGATTTCTTGAGCTTTCCAGCCTCCAGAATTATAATCCAAACAAACCTCTTTTCTTTATTAATCATTCAGTCTTAGGTATTCTGTTATAGCAATAGAAAACAGACTAAGACAACCACTAAGAAAAATGATAAGCTAAAACATGACATACGTTCAGTTTCAAAGATGTTAAAATATGGAAGTGAGTGGAGAGTGCATCTTAAATGCATTAAGTACAGTGTAAGAAAGGGCAAGAAGGGGGGCAAGGTAAGGGGCTTCGCTCTCCTCACTCTGGAGCGAAGTTAACTCAGGGCAGTTTAAGGCAAAAAGGATCTTGCCTTGCTTCTAGATAGGGTTTGGAGAGGAGTCCGCCTCAAACAATCCACATTCTAATGGGGAAGGTGGAGAGAAAAAGTGGTGACCTAGTGTAATGGGGCAGAGGAGGGAGCTTGACACCGGGTCCCCAAAGCTCACCTCTACTCTTGTGTGATATAGATGGAAGCCATAGTGCTGGTAACAAAGGTGAGAATGTAGGCATAGGCTGTAGCTCAGTGGTAGAACACCTGCCTCACATGCTCTAGGCCCTGGGTATTACCCCAACACTGCAAAAAAAAAGAGGAAGAAGGCACATGATCTAAGACCTGAAAGCAGGAGGCCCCACGGTGCCACAGTAGCAGATTCCTTCCCCACTCTGTGATTCAGGGCAGATGACCCCATCATCTAGTAGGCCAAGAGCCAGATAGAGAACAGGGCAGAAACTCAGTAGGGACTAGGGAGCCAGGCACTGCCAAGTCAGTCAGGGAGAACGCTGGGCTCAGCTCAAACTGCAAAAGTGACTAAACCATGAGTTACATCACTTGCAGATCCAGCCAGCGAAGCCAGCAGCAACCTGGTGACCAAGAGTCATCGCCACAGAGAACAGAGAAGCTGGAGCACAGAACATGGAGCCCGTGTGGAACTAAAAACCCCATCCTCCCAAAGCCACAAGATCACAAAACCACATCCTGCCAGGTGAAATCTAAGAGACCAAACATATACCCAAAAGAGACTAGACGTTTACCTAAAGAGACTGTTTAAATTTCTGTAACTATATCCAAGTTTTAATGCTCAAGGACTGAAGTCAGCTGTTTCCTGGCCCTCCAGCAGGTGGAGCCTCTGGAGGCTGTGTTTCAGACCCATGAAGGAAGTACACCTCCTCTGCACGGCTGACTTGCAGAATGAGTACAAAGTAGGACGTCTAGTTAACATGACGTTTGATGACATCAAACCACCATTATATTTTCCATGCATCTTCCCTGATCTCTCCAACCAGAAGCATTTCCTTCCTTTTCTGAATTTTCATAGTACATTGGTTCTCAAAATGTGGTTTCTGACCATCAACATCTGTGCCACCTGAGAACTTGTTAGAAATGCAAATCTTCAGGGCCACCTCACAACTACTATATCAGAAATTTGAAAAGTAGAGCCCTGCAATCTGTGTGTGTTTTGTGTGTGTGTGTGTGTGTATGTGTGTGTGTGTTTGTAGTTGGACACAATACTTTTATTTCATTTACTTATTTTTGTGCTGAAGATCGAACCCAGGGTGTCCCACGTGCAAGGCGAGTGCTCTACCACTGAGCCACAACCCCAGCCCTGCAATCTGTATTTTAACAAATCATTTAAACATTCCAATGCTTGCTAAAATTTGAGAACCATTGTCATAGCACTTTGTACCTTTTTTGAGATCTGTTACATGCTAGCCTTGTAGTTTTAGTTTCACTGTCCTGTGGCTGTTGGGTTTGAACATAGACTATGTCATAAATGTACAATACAGGTCCTGCTATAGACGTCTAGACACCACTTTACCTCTGGGCTCACTGTTACTCTGGCCAACACTTTCCCCACAACTCATAATACTTTCAATATCTGTATAAATGATGTTTCTCCTATCCTGGCCTCTCAGCCTCAATTCTCACACTCTACTTTAGCTCCTTACTCTATGAGTACAACATTGACCATAATCACAACCCATAATATCAATTTCAAGAAGCTGACTCTCTTAGCACCATCTACATCTTGTCTTTTTCTTGCACCCTCTAAACAGTCTCATTCACACAGTTTTTTGACTCTGATTGATCACCACTATCCCATGGTACCCCACCTTTCACACATCCTATTTTCCTTTCTTACTCAGTTGGATTAGAATTGATCATCATAATCACTCCAGTGTACTACCTTCAACTCTCTTTGACCTCTCTTAGTCCTCTCCCTCTATTCACCTGGTAAACTCCAAAGCTGGTTAAATCCAGTGCTCAGCCTGCTCTACAGCTGCACTCCTGACTAATATTGCTGTAGGAAAATGCAAAACCCCACACACAACCAGTCCCTTCTAAATTTGTAACTACTGATCCTCAAGTGGGTGTGGTGGACACAATGCATTCTCTTAACTTATCCACCCTCCTAGAAGATGACTTCACACCTTCTTCTCCATCTCCTCCCCAAATGACAAATTTCCCTTCCAGTCTCATGTTGCTGATCATCTTGCTTCCTATTTCATGGAGAAAATAAAAACAATTAAAACAACTTCTACAAGCATCTGCAGCAATACCTGTATCATTTTCTCTGTCTTCCACCCTGTGCTGAACTCACTCCAGCCCTATCTAATCCCCATACAGAAATTCCCTGGAAAGAATTGTAGATAACTTATCTTCTATCTCTTTCTCCTCTTTCCATTCTATTTTGAACCCTTTGCCTCTGCCCCCACTTAGCCCTTGAGACTCTTGTCAAGGTCACCTGTGACCTTCATAATGCTATAAATGGTCACTTAGTTCTTTCTTCCTCTTTCTTCCTCTTACTCAACTTACCAGGAGTACTTTGCACAATTGATGACTCTCTTCTATATATTTTCTTGGCTTCCAGGACACCATACTTTCTTGGTTTTTCCTGTGCTTCATTATCAGTTCTCTTTGCTGGTTCTTCCTTCTGTCTCCAACATTTAAACAATAAAGTGCCTAATGGTTCAGACATGGGACCTCTTCTCAGATGACTGTCTCTCATAAATTTTCCACTTAGAACTTCAAAGTCTATATATCCAATTGTGTAGATTTGTTTGTATAATAGACAGATATTAGCAGAATTTGACATAAGATTACTCTAGCTGTGTATGAAGAAGGGATCCAAGGAGAACAAGAAATTATGTAGGGGCACTAGCGAGAAGACTAATGTAATATAGTGGTCTCCTTATCCACAGGGAATACATTCTGAGATTCCCAGCAGATGCCTGACGTTGCAGATAATACCAAACACTATATGTACAGCAAAATGTGTTTCTTGACATATGTACCAATGAAAAGTTTTAATTTATAAATTAGGCACAGTCTGAGATTAATAGCAATAATAGTAAAACAGAACAATTATAACAATATGCTATAATAAAAAATTGTGTGTAGTCTTTCCTTCAAAGTATCTTATTCACCTTTCTTCTTGTGATAATGTGAGATAATACATGTTGACATGATGAGATGAAGTGAGGTGAATGAAAGGCACTCTGATGTACTGTTCAGCTACTATGTAAGGGTTATTTGAACACAAGCACTGTGATATCATGGCAGTTGATCTGATACCCTAAATAACTACTCACTAATAGATGGGTAACAAGAGGTAATTCATGTCCTGAGTAGGACAGGGTAGGAGATGTCACACTACCAAGATGGTGTATAATTTAAAACTTATGAATTGTTTATTTCTGGAATTTTCCATTTACTATCTCTGGACTGTAGTTGATCACAGTACCTGAAACTGTGGAAAGTGAAATTGCAGATAAAGTGGGAGGAATAGGGACTACTATAGTCTGGATAAGAAATAAAATTGGTGTAAACTCTAGTGATGGTGGTAGAAATGAAGAAAATACACTCATTTAAAATTATTTTACAGCTAAAATCAAAAGATTTTGGTGATAGATTAGATGGGAGTAGGAAGGGAAAGAAAGGATCAAAGATGTCTCCCAAATTATCAGCTGGGCAAGGGGGAAAATGAGAAGGCTACTAAATGTGCTATGAAAAAGAGGAGGGAAATAGGTTTGGGTTTTTTTGAAGTGTTGGGAAGATAAAAGTTTAATTTGTAGCTACTTAAGTTTCAGAGGCTTGACACATCTCATTGATAAAATTCATAAATTACTTGGGATATACAGAACTAGAATTTGCTAGATAGGACTGAATGAAGATCATAAAACTATCAAATCACGCTAAGCAACAAAGTAAGATGAAAACTGAAGTATCTTTTAAACAAGGCAATTTGGAGGGCATTAATGAGCTGGACAGCAGCAGTTTCAGTGAAGTTCTGGGTAATGTAAGCAGAGCCAGAAAACAAATGAAGGGAATGGCCTTCTAAGAAGGAGGAACATTTTTTTCATTGAAAGATAAAATAGAGGAAACTAGGAGAGGGCAACATGAAGAGGAAGCAAGCGGTGGGATTAAGAGACAGGAAATAGGAAAAATAATAATAGAAATTGAAAGAGAGGGGAACTTATGAGAAAAAAAATTCTTCTTGGTAAAATAGAAAATGAATAGATTCTCAACTTCCTCAGAAAGTAACACTGGCTATGAGGAGGTGTTAGAATGTTTCTTGGGTAATAAAGTTCAGGTTTCATTTTCATTTTATTTTATCAGAATAAAAGAATCCACATAAAGTTTGGGCATTAAGAAAATCATGGGGCTGGGGTTGTGACTCAGAGGAAAAGCGCTCGCCTAGCATGCGTGAGGCACTGAGTTCGATCCCCAGCGCCACATAAAAATTAAATAAAGGTATTGTGTCTGCCTACAACTAAAGAATAAATGTTTAAAAGAAAAGAAAATAATATGCTGTGGAAATAAAAAATTTAAGCTTTTATCTGGAAATGATAAGGCTAGATTTATTACCCTGAAATAGCTACCTATTGCCTGTAATGGAAACAATAAGGAAAAATTAATCAGCAGGAATTCTGTTAATTGTCATTTAAGCACAACCATTTCCTTTCTTTGAAATCCATCTGAAAAAGTCCACAGGGCAAGAAGGTTGCCTCAAATCCAAGGTACAAACACAAGTTATAAGACAAACAGAGGAAATTATTCCATCATAAATCTGTCAGTCAGCAAAACAGTCCATTCAGACCAGCATAAAGGCCTTATCTGCTCTTTGGCTGTAATGTTCTGGCTATTTCTCTTTCCTTCCCTTGAGCAACACATTTAGTCATTGAAACCAGGGAACCTGGAATGTGTGAGGGACATTGAAATGTATCTACTAGCTCAATGCTCTCTGGCTGTTTTAAGTGGTATCATAAAGATCACAAGGAGCTGGGCATGGTGGCCCAACCCTGTAATCCCAGCGGCTGGGGAGATTGAGACATGAGGATTGCAAGTTCAAAGATGGCCTCAGCAACAGCAAGGTGCTAAGCAACTCAGTGAGACCCTGTCTCTAAATAAAATACAAAATAGGGCTGGGGAGTCCATTCACCAGAGTCTCTGGTGACAGAGAACTTGATAGCTTTCAAGGGCACCCTCCACATAGAGAGCACTTCCTTCCATTCACCAGATATCATCTCCCTGATGTTTCCATTTCTCTGAGTTTTCCACATTAGAATTTTTTCTACAACTCAAAATTCCTATCCCAAATACTGTCTCTTCAAAGAGGAAAGGTAGCTATCATATACTTCTGTTTTCTCCAGTTCACATCTGCAAATTCTTATTTTGATTCCACTTTGTTATGTCCTACCACCATATTTCTGTGATTGGTCCCCAGTTTGATTATATTGATGCCCAGAGTTGAACACAATTATCTAGATATTCTCTAGCAAAGATGAGTAGAATGAAACTATAACCTCTCTTATTTGGAATATTATGTTTATATAATATATTGATTGCTATACAATTAACATATTTATTAAATATCACTAAATTAATATTTCATCCAAAATGTTAATATATCCAATGATTCCATAGCTTTCTTTTCAATAAAATCACACCATTGACTCACTGTGGCAGGTTGAGAATGGTTTCCCTAAGATGTTCATGTCTTAATCCCTAAAGCATGAGATATGATACCTTATGTGATAGGAGAGGATTTTGCAGGTGTGATTAAATTAAGGATCTTGGGAAGGGGAAATTATCCAGAATTATCTGGGTGGGCCCAGTGTAATTAAAAAGTTTGTTATAAGAAGCAGGCAGGAGGGCCAAAGTCAGAGGAAATGTGACAATAGAAGCAGCTATCGGAGTGACGCAGGACCATGAGCCAAGGAATTTGAGCAGCCTTAAGAAGCTGGAAAAGATAAGGAAACAAATTCTCCCCAAAAGCCTCCGAAAGGAATGTAGTCCTGATGGCCCACTTACCTTCCTGACCCCTAGAATGAACTGTAAAAGAATAGACTTTAATTCTTTAAGCCAATAAGTTTGTAGTGATTTGTTGAAGCAGAAATAGGAACCAATACTCTCATATTAAATTTCATTGACATACACTTCATCCATGTGCACTGTAGCTAAACTTGCTATGACACAACCAGCCTTTGCTTCTAAGGGCTTTGCATCTTCAGGTTCAACCAACCACCGAAAGAAAATATTTGAAAAAAAGTCAAGTTGATACTAAACATGCACACATCTTGTTGTCTTGTCATTCCCTAAACAATGGAGTATAACAACAATTTGAATAAGTATACTATATCAGATATTAGAAATAATTATAAATAATTAGAGATGATTTAAAGCACACTGAAAGATATATGCAGGCTGTATATAAATACTATACCATTTTATATGAAGGACCCAAGCATCTGAGGATTTGAATATATATACTGGGGGGCATAGTATGATTACCCTATGGAGAACCAGGGATGACTGTACTTATATAGTTGGTTTTCTGGATTTAATTTTTAAAAACCTAATGATTATTCATATTAATTTTAACTTGGTTTACTTTATCTCACTTCTCAATTATCAAGAAATAATTTTAAAACAATTCTATTATCCAAGTGTGCAAAATTCTTCCATCTTCATGAAATCCACTGATATTTTATAAGCATATTTTTAAGAGAGAATTTTTAATATTTATTTTTTAATTTTCAGCAGACACAACATCTTTGTTTGTATGTGGTGCTGAGGATCGAACCCAGGCCGCACACATGCTTGCAGAGCGTGCTACTGCTTAAGCCACATCCCCAGCCCTATAAGCACATTTTTAAAAAAAATTTTTTAGTGGTTGATAGACTTTTATTCTATTTATTTGTATGTGGTGTTGAGAATCAAACCCAGTGCCTCTCACATGCCAGGCAAGTATGCTACTGCTGAGCCCTAGCCCCAGCCCTTATAAGCATATTTTTAATGTATCATTAACCAAATCACCAATCAAAACATTGAATGGGGAGGACAAAGGGAAAAATTCAAGAAAGATGCATCTCTCTCCAGATTTTGGGAATCACTTGTCAGTGACTTTGTTGTACTTCATTCAGAAGATATTTTTTAATGCTATCTGAAAGAATACCACAAGACTTTCATTAATTCCTTGGACTGGTTCACAACTCTGATAGTAACCCTGACAAGGAGATGAAGTTAATCCAATGGAATGTGCTTTTTTGTGAATCGGTGCTGGTTTCTGATGATCATGGTTTTCTAGTTTAGGCATTCATAAACCACTGCTTTACTAATCTACAGTCTTGCATGGAGCCCATCATGTGTCCACAGGCTTTGACATGATGAATATAAGTAAGTTTTTTTTAATTTTCAAAGACAGAATAGTTGTATAGTATTCAAGAGATATCAAAGTACCAAGACATTGTTTATGCTTTCAAAAAAAATTATACTGAAACTAGATGGGCATAGTAGTGCATGACTATCATTCCAGCTATTCAGATGGCTGAGGTGGGAGGATTACTAGTTCAAGGTCAGTCTAGGCAATTTATCAAGATCTTGTTTTAAAATAAAAAGTAAAAAGGTCTGGGATGTAGCTCAGTGGTAGAGCACCCCTGGGTTCAATCCTAGCCAAGAGAGAGAGAGAGAGAGAGACAGAGACAGAGACAGAGAGAGACAGAGAGGAAGAACAGAAAAGAAAACAAATTAAAAATTTTAAAAAATAAAAAATTATGTTGTAACTAATTTTATTCACCCTGTATTCTTTTGAAGATTTTCTAGAATATTATAATACTAACAAATGATCTAGAAAGCAACTACCAACAAGGCATCCAGGTAGTTGGGAAAGTAAAGCACCTACAGGTAGTTTTTTTGTTTTGTTTTGTTTTGTTTTTGGTACTGGGTATTGAACTCAGGGTTCTCAATCACTGAGCCACATGCCTAGCCCTATTTCGTATTTTATTTAGAGACAGAGTCTCACTGAGTTGCTCAGCGGCTCACTTTTGCTAAGGCTGGCTTTGAACTTGCAACCCTCCTGCCCCAGCCTCCGAAGCCTCTGGGATTATAGGCATGCGCCACCACACCCAATTTCTACAGGTAGTTTCTTGGACAACTTTTTTCACTTCCCTGAGACTAAAAAAAAATCCTACAATAGTAGAAAACTAGTGATGTCCTATGTTGTTTGACTTATGTTCTAAGGTTGGGGATGGGAAGAGATATTCAGGAACAATGATTTCATATTCAAAATATCCAGTTTACATCAATAAGATAATAAACTATTTCATCCCGTTGGTAAAATCTTTCACAGAGCAGAAAGTTTTAAGTTTTGATGAATT